CATATACAATTATGAGACTTCACAGTTTCGTTTTATTGTCTTGTCTATCTAAATAATTAACGTGCATAACACAACCCGATTTGAAATACGCATGCATTTGTTATCATTTACGAACATAAGCTTGCGACAAATACATAGCATCGACATCTACATAAATAAAGACCTTTGCTGATTACAGATGTAGTTATCAAACACTCAAATAGCTATAATATAATAAAGCTAATAAAGAACTCCCATGCGCTGAAGATATTGGAAGCACAAACTACAAATAAGAAATATTGTAGCTACTAGTTTTATTAGAATTTGATGAGTTGTACTTTAAGTTATTTGTAGAGCCCTTATTAATTGGTTAATTTATGCAAATTAGGTATTTAGTAAGCACAAAATATAACCCCCAAAATGAACATATACTGTATATAGGCTAGATAATATGCAAATTAGGTAATTAATAAGCATGAATTTCAACCAAACACTAATTTGGTCTGAGCATTACCACGGAGCATCTATGTACCAAGTCTCAATACAATCTGGTAATTGGTTTTTGAGATATCAGTGTAACACACATACACATATATACACAGACGCACAACCTGCAATGACTCCCATTGCACACGGAAGCCAAATACATGATGCCAGTGTATATTGTTCTTCAAGAACAAGATACAAGGGGTTCTTATCATAATATATGATATTACTTCAAACCTTAATGCATACTTGCTTGTTGTGCCCACTAAAATGTTTAGATGTTTATACAAACACTTTGAGTGAATAATAGTATCAGAATTGTTTTTTTAAAACTTGATCATAGGAGTGTATAGCTAAATACATTCTTTATTGTAGTATTGTTCACTACTGGGGTGGAAAAATTATATAAATATGTAGGCCCTATCAGAGTAAAAATAGATAAAATAAACATATATATACTTATACTTTATTAAACACGTAAAATTCCCCAGGAGGAATTAAAATGGTTACATTTACACTAAACAAAACTAAACTAATAATACAAAACATTAAGACTAAAGTAATGGTTAAAAAATAATAATAATAATCGAAATAAAAAAAATATAGTACATCTGGTATTCGAATTTAAATCACCAAATATGATAAACACTGCTCAACAATCTCTTTGATTAAACCATGGGAACAGATCCCATGGTTTAATCAAAGAGATTGTTGACCAGTGTTTACCTCCATGATTCAACAGCCTGCCACACCCCCTGAATTATGATAGCGATGAGCTTTTCGTCAGTTTGTTCTGAGCAAGGATCGTTTCTGTGCATCTCGGAGATTATTCCAAGACGATCTGTTACGACTCTATATTGCATGTATTTTGTATGATGTAGCATTTTGTATAAGAACAAGCAAATAACAAACAACATAATTCTGCATTTCCATTAGCAAATAATATTGCATGATCCCAAAATCATCTCATCTTTTACATGTATTAAATGACGATACGACACTTCGCAATTGTAGAAATCTCTGTGCTATTTAGATGCAATACAAGCTATCATGTTGTATATACATGTATTACACATGCTGAGAATAACATCTGTGTTTAGGAATAGTCTCACAAAAATATTAAATAGCAAAAAATTCATATAATTATTATAATATGTATTTTTATTTTTAAAATACACGCGATTTTTGAGAGATGAATACAAATAGCAGTTGCCTTAAAATTGATAAAGTGGGTGTGTTTCCATCCCTGTCCCATACAGACTTGTATTTATGTGGCAGGAAAGCTTTGTCAGATGTTGAACCTACACAATATAAATAAAACATACCTACTGGAAAGTATGTTTTACCTTTTCAACCCTAATTTTGTTACGCTTGTCCCGCTACTTTTTTTTGAAAAGGAATGGAAAATTTGCCAGAAAAAAACTATCACGAGAATCTGTATACAATTTCTTCTTCAAAAAAACAACAACCAAGAATTATCATACTTCAGTTAATTATTCAATTTGTGTATACGGTTACATGTAATGAATTGTTGACTGTATCAAATTACTTAAAATCGTACAGCATACATTTAAACAACGGTTTCATGTCAAATGAATTACTGAATATATATTCCTCACGAAACCTTAATAATATTAACAATGAAAATAATATATTTATGTTATTTCACAAGTTACCATTAACGCATAGTTACCTATGCTGGTCATTCGTAATAACCCGGGACGAACTTCTTAACGCTCATTAACATGAATTATCTAGATGTGTGACCTCAAACTAAAGACAAAGATATACAGTTTGTTCATAGCATTTATCATATATGTAGAATTGTACCAACCATGTAAATATGATTGTACAGTGTTCACATTGGACAACAATGAAAAGATCATAAAAGTGCATGTTATACGGAAATCGGTAATAGGAACGTTTCCTTTGTATACACTTGGATCTATGACGCCATGGTGACATCAAATCTCCATGGAATATGGGTATTATATTTGATTTATATAGTTCATCCAAAGACACTATAAAATACAAGTCCATATATAGTGTTATCATTTCATTCAATGATATTGACCTGAGCACACCCAGCTAATTGAACATATATATCGTTTATGTAAAATTTAGTGTTTCAATCATTATTTTACGATCCTATCTGCATTAAATTTGGAAGTATGACGTCATGATTTACTTCATATCTCCATAAAATAAGATAATCATATCAAATTTTAATAGTTCATATTACCTCTCCGTAGATTACAAACACGATAACATTGTGTAAAGTCGTGACGAATATTAAGCATTGTATTTAGATGACATAAATAATGACATTGCTCAAAATCGGACACACCCAACCACAACTGGGCCTATACAGCTTGTATACCAAGTTTGGTGCTTTACTCCACCATGTCACGATCCAGTGGACTACATTATAATATCAACTCAACAATAACCAACAGCTTGATTTTTTATGCAATATAAGTATTATTATAAAAAGAAAACAAGTTATCATATATATAAAGTAAAAGTCACATTTCTACATAAATTGCGCTGCTTTTATGGCGTGCTTGTTTAGAGGGCGAGTGTCTGGATGGAAGATAAAATAAGGTTGTGCACACACTAGAAAGACAACTCTGTTGTAGGTCACGGGAAATGTTGATACCATATTTACTTATATTCCAGAGAAATTAATGAAAGGTCTCTTATATTCTACTTACTACACACAATACAGGAACAAAATACATTGTTCATAGACTTAGTTGATCGCGTTGTCATGGTATCATGCTTTGATCAACCATACAAATAAACAAATGTTCATAATTTACTTCTTCGCATAACACGTAAATAATTTGTTATTTAATAAACCGCCCCATGTAATTTACGAGTTTCCTTATTTTCAGTTAGTGAGAGGCACGCGCTTGGTGATTCATGTAACGAGTAATAGAGTACATATCTAAGCGGCCGCTCCTCAGCAAATAATTAAACCAAGGCATTTTCCGTGTCAAAATCGCGAAACTGTTAGTTTTTACGCAATCTGAGAAGTTCGAATTACTAAACGAAGTACAGAACGATGAAGCTGAAATATCCAAGAACCAATACATACCAAAAATTATATCTCAAAAGTGAATATTCGTGGTGTATTTACCGGACCGGAAGTGGGAATTGTTTACTACTCTGAATATCCAAACATATTTTAGTATAAGGTAGTAGTTATGTGTTAGTATCTGTTGTTTCAAAGATTGAATTATTTATTTCATTCACTTAATATTAAAAAGCAACATAAATTCATTCTCGCCCGCCAGAGTATTTCTTCCGCCCCACTCAAAACAAGCAGCCTGTCGGCCGGGATAGCTCCGCTGTTAGCAATGCACATTTCAATTAAAGAACAGAAGATATCATTAGAAAATGAACAATATGTATAGTATAGTATCAAAGCAATCGAAAATATCACTTTTTACCAAAATAACAAAAATATTCATCAAAATTGGAGAACTGAAGATATCAGCACGAAATGAACAAATCTGAGAGAAGTCCACATGTAGTACATATATATGTAATATCAAAGCAATCGGACTTGTGGTTTTTAACAAGAAGTCGAAAATGTCACTTTTTACCAAAAATTATAAAAATATTCACCAAAATTAGAGAATTGAAGATATCACGAAATGAACAAATCTGAGAAAGGTCCAAATGTAGTATCTATATATGTAATATCAAAGTAATCGGACTTTTAACAAGAAGTCGAAAATATCACTTTTTACCAAAAATTACAAAAATATTCACCAAAATTAGAGAATTTGAGATTTTGACATAAAATGAACCATCCAAGGTACTTGCATATCAAAGTTGAAAACATTCTGATATGCGGTTGCGAAGAAGAAGTTGAAATTGTAAAGTTGACGACGACGGGCGACGACGGACAATCAGTAATATAAACAGCTCCGCTGTGTCGACAGCGGAGCTAAAAATAGGAAGCAACCACCAGTTGCCGAAAGAGGGCGTGGTTTGCGACGATGCATAAATTGTAAAAAGAAGTATCAAGTTCCGTGTATCACAGTCCCTGGTGTTGAGGGACTGTGCGTGTATAAACACTAGTGTAAAGAGGCGGTAGAGTGCTATTTTAGCCAAAATCGGCTAGTAAGGCGTCATATGACACAAGCTATGACACAACGGGTCAGAATGTCTTGTTTTAGCGTTGGCCCCCAAAACAGAATGCAGTTTTTATATTCGAATTCGACTGAGCATAATTGTACATTTTCAACAAATATTAGTTTTTATCAGGTGTTTGTACACATTGAATATGATACCATGAATATGAGACTTTATATGTGTTGATCACGTGGGGTCGACTATAAATAAAACGAAATGTGACTAATATTACAATCCTCAGTTACCTGAATACGAGTTACGAATCTGAATCGGAAAGAACATCTGACTCAATTAATTCTAATCTGAGGTGAAACCGTAACTTCGCCGTTCTAAGTTGTGGTTATACGTAAAATACGGCCAAGAAAATCATGTCTTTGGAAAGTTTCAAGGCTGCTATGGTCCTCAGTGGTTCTGGTGACGCTCTGGGCTACAAAAACCAAGAATGGGAATACTGCACATCCGGTCCACAGATCCACAAAGAACTTGCCGAGTTGGGAGGCCTGGAAAAAATCGTGGCTGAGCTCCCAGGGTGGCCAATCAGCGACGATACCGTAATGCACATCGCAACTGGGGAGGCACTCTGTACTGGAAAGTCAGGAGTTGAACTCTTTCAAGAAATTTCCACGAAATATGTGGAGTGCATGAATGACATGGAAGGAAGAAAACCTGGCCCAACCAGTTTATTGGGCACTGGATTAATGAAGCCAGGTTCGCCCGATGGTTACTGTATTCCGTTCAATCCTACCGGTACTGGTTGCGGTGCTGCGATGAGGTCTATGTGTATCGGTCTTCGCTACCCTAAACCAAACCAGTTAGACGACTTGATTGCGGTATCTGTAGAGAGTGGCCGCATGACGCATCATCACCCGACTGGCTACCTTGGCAGCCTGGCGTCAGCTCTTTTCACAGCTTACGCCGTCCAGGGTAAGCCCCTCCAGGAGTGGGGTGTAGGACTGTTATCTGTTCTTCCTAAGGCATTGGATTATGTAAAATCTGCTGGAAAATTTGTGAAAGAAAATGAAGAGGCATGGTCGTATTTTGGTGAAAGTTACAAGAAATATTTAGAAATTCGTGGAATTGCAGATGGAGAAAGCCAACCTAAGTTCCCTTCCAACTATGGAGTACAAGAGAGAGATGATTTCTATAAGACATTGAGCTTGGATGGATGGGCTGGAAGAAGTGGCCATGATGCTCCAATGATTGCGTAATAATAATTTACTTTACTAAGTTTGTGCAGTGATCACCACAGTGGTGGTGGCACCGTGGGGGCGGTAAAATAGTTTGTGGGGGCGTTGCCCCCATGATAAAATAAGGTGAAATACTCAAATTTTCCCGGGAGAGCATGCCCCCGGACCCCTTCAGCTCTCAATTTGTTGACATTCACATAAAATCTTCACCCCCCACAGTAAAAAAAAAGCTGACGCCGCCTTGGCACCATACCATGCATCTTCAGATCAAACTGATACATATGCACCAGCCATACTTTAGCACCAGCCTTAGCTGTCTTCCTAAAAAACAGCTATGGAACAAAACAGCAACAACTATCAGTGTATTAGGCTACATTTTGTGTTCATTCTATAATCTGTATTCACCATTGGCTGCAAATTGTCTTTATTTTTTTTTGATTTGTTTTATTTTTTTTAGAAAAGTTTTTCTTTTTTGTTTTCTTTTTTAGATTGTAGTTTTTTTTAATTTCTTTCTGTAAGACCCTTTTTATCCTTTCCTAAGGATTTTATGCATCTAATAAAAAATATAAATATATATGTTCCCAGTCCCTATATATATACTTCTAGAGAGACTGTGGTAAGTTGGATAAAAAATGTTTGGCCTAATGACTGATCATCTACCGTAATGTGGTTTATGTAGATTTAGAAGATGTGATGACCTGAATTTCACAAATTGTAAAAAATATGTAATTAACGTTTAAATTTCAATGATTTCTGATGTTTTCGAATGTTAACAATGTTTGATTTTGTATTCAAATTTACTTCACAAAATTAAACCTGCTTTTTTCATATTTTTTTCTAAAACTTAATCAACCCAGTAGTCAATTAAAGTTATGTCCATTTGATCCAATAATTCACAAAGAATGTGAAAAAATACATAAAAATGTGAAAAAATTTTGCACCAAATATTTGCCAGAAAAAATTATAGTGTCAAGGTAGATGCAGGTATTCTGTCTATAAATAGGGGTTGACAAATTTAATTTTTATATATAGAAATGAAAACATTATATTATAAAGAGCAATTTATAAAAATACATATGGTTTCTTCTGGTTTACTGAATGATATTGTCACAAATTAATAAAAGGAAATTGATAAAATAAATTATTTTTATTTTATTTTTCAGGTATGATTCTCTGCTTGCAGTTGGTTCTGATTGGGACAAGTTATGCAGTCATTCAATGTTCCATGCTGGTGACAGTGACTCCACTGGTGTGATTGCTGCCTGCTGTTGGGGAATTATGTATGGTTTTAATGGCGTCCATGAAGGAAACTATGCCAAACTTGAATACCGGGAACGACTGGAAAATATTGGTGTTAAGCTTTACGAATTAAGTGGGTTGTAAGGTCATTTATTGTTTAAAACCTCTTATATGGTTTCACTACTGCATCAGTCCAGTGTCTCAATTCTAAATCGATTTGGTCAAAATCTATAGATTATTAGTGGTTTCATTTGACTGTAGTTCATTCATGATATAGGTATTGGCTCCCATTTGTTCTGTATCTAGTCTCACTATATCACCAATCATAGAGTGCTTTATTCAATTATGCTGGGTTATTTTGCACATGTAGTTTGTAACACAGTTTGTGATTGGTGCAATATTGCATTGTAATCATTGATCAGGTAAGGGTATTAGCCAGGAATTTGAAAGTGCTAGGTAAAACACTTTAAAAGATGATTTGGGCTATATATTTGACAACATTTACAAAGAACAAGGGAAAAAACAAAAAAAATAATAAAAATTTGCCTGTCAAAAAAAATACTGACTGGAAGCTGGCTAATACTAGTATACTACTAGTAATCCAGGTACACTACTGTTGTACTGGGTCATAAACATACATATGCAAACAGGATTTGTCGGGTGTAAATGAGACAACCTCGCTTCTTGTGTATTCCTGAACCCACAATTTATTGACTAATATTATATACTGCACTAGCCGGGAATCTAGCCGGGAATAAGTGAGTGGAGTCGTTACCAATATCAGATTTCAATCAAATTATTGAGTACATTACAAAAAAGTCAAATACATTATGATGCCATAGATAAACACTTAGTGTGTGTAATAAAATTGTTTTAAATTCTGTTTGGTAATTTTTGCTGGTGTACTTATTTTTATTTGATGACATTTAAATATCTTTTGCATAGAAGTTATGATCACTTTGTCTGAATCAGTAGTTACTATGACAATGCTCAGTATGCAGTGAACAGTTTATTTACAATTTACAGTTTAAAAAATAACAAATGTGTTGTCAATTTCTGAAATATTTCTATAGGCTGTGAATAATAAATAAAAGGTGGAGAGAATTTTCAGTATTCTGTCGTTTGTTGTACTGTACCGTACACCACAGCTTCTGTATCAGGGCTTGGTACACTGTATGAACCAGTTGGCTCAACACATTGAATATGTAGAACGAAATTTGGGAACAGTATGACTGCTGCTAGTTCAAGTTAAGCTCAAGCTGAATAAGATGGCGATGGTCGTCTTTTTCGATGTGGGTCCCACAGCAATGTAGACAACTTGTGTATGATACATTCTTTGTTTACACAAAATTAACACTGCACAACGACAATCACCCATAAAACTACTGTTCCTGCACACTTGTGTAATACCTTAAAGGTGGCGGTCATCGTGCTGCGCATGTGCAACATTTGTGTCGATAAACATTGATTGTCCCACAATCCAATTCGCTCTTCTAATGGAAATCACAAGTATGAGGTTTGACCTGGGCGTGACTTGCACTGATTACCGCTGGTGACTCTTTCGATACCTAATTGGTAACTTCTCAGTTTGTAGTTTTGTCAGCCATCTTTGTTTTTCATGTTACCAATATATATTTGCGTATGGGTGACTGCCCTTTAAATTTCACTCGAAAAATATTCAACTTCGATTCTTATGAAGTCACTCATTTATGATAATATTTCAGTTTTTTTTTTTTAATCTGTTTATTATGTTGTATCAATATATCTTCATTTCGGAACTGCTTTGGCGTATACTTTCTAAAAAGATTCAATACTAACATTAATACCTTGGACGCAAATGGTCGCCAAGATCTCAAGAGCAAGAAAGCCTCAAGTTTGTTCTCCCTTAATCACATCTACTGTTCTATGGCTTTTTGTGTCTGAGGTCTGTTGTAATTTTGTCCCTGAAATCTGATCAGTTGGCTATTAAGAGAAATGATAGTATTCATGTTTAATGACTGTACTTCCCATCTTATCGTTTAAATATCAAATTGATGCGACTTGTTGGATCCACAATCAAATCATTTAATTTAACTGTGATCAAAAACAGTTTTCCTAACACAATCATCAGAGAGGTCTCTCGGATGTACAGCCTCATTATTTTTAAACATTATTTGGAAACAACTTTGCAAGTGACTCTTAATGAAGGCCTCTTAAACCTGAAAAAATGAGTCCCACGACATTGGCTTGAGGCAGGCTTTTCACTCAAGCTAAAATCCAACATATGTACTTTGTCATTCTCCAACAGTACTGGAGAAACCACTGGTGTGATATCTGTAAGACAATCCCTTAGTTTAACCACATAATCAGATGATAAACAATGTTTAGATGGTGATGAATCTTCTTTCCAACACTTTGCAATCTGAGCATAACGACAGGAAAGCCTTTCTTTCTTTACCTGTCATCCAGCTTCTAGGCATAGGAATCCTAATTAACATATTTCATTATAGACACTCTTGACCACAGGCATGATGCACTAGATGTAGGTTTTCATTAGAGTTACTAATTTAAGTGACATCACAAGCAAAATGAATTTAAACACGTTGAGACATCTTTAGATGTAGGATTTTCCGTTTTTTGTTTTCAGCAGACTATTGGGGGGGGGGGTATTTTAAGCCAAGAAATTGTGCAACTTGTCTGGCCAAATATTTACCCATAATTACTGTCAAGCTACTTACCCTAATAACAGCCTTCTAATTGTTTTTCATTCAAGATTGCAAGAGTGGCATCCCGAGTTGAAAGCCCATTAAAGTAAAACGTCCACATTCCAGTGTCTCCCAATACTATTTTTGCTCAGAATTTATTTTAGCTGGAGGGACGATTCAGTGAAAATAAAATCCAGGGAATACAATTTTCCTACATTTTTAATTCAATCATAAATCAGTAAAATTCAGCTATTTTATAGTAGCTTATCATGCTTGTGACAAAAAACATATTTCCTATATTAGAATGACTACTGGATCACATGCGTTTTTCTAGAACAAAATTGCAAGAGGAAGCACTGCAATTCAGCAGCGCCACCAAGTGGGGGGATAGGGTTCTCCCTACCAGGATGAGTAGTTTTGATAATACTAAGTTAAAATGGCTTCCTTGGGGCCAAAATTACTATCAGACAGTTCATAGTGGAAGACACTGGCCACATGTGATCCTTGGACAATAAGAATTTTATGGATGCCAGAGGATCTGCTACCCAGGGTAAAGGGGGCAGATGACAATGTAATGAGGGCGCTGCACCCCTGTTCCCTATAAAAATCCCTGGGATCATATCTTGCCTGTTAGTATTGCAAGCAATTTAAAAAAAAAAACTCTGCAAGTAATACAAGAAAATTATTTTATTGCAATTAAACCAGCTGAAAAATACATTATCTACATTTGTCCACATATTAATAAATAAACATTTCCCATTGTAAACTCACTTGAGAGCTTTTATACTACACGTATCAAAATATCCTTAAAGAAACGACTTAAAGCAAGCCATGCATGGTTTACTATGCTAACTCTAGCATGGTGGAAAGAATACATCAGATTCAAAGTTGATAATCTCCATATCATTGCACATCCATGAGATCGCGCCTGTATTGTTATAAGAGCACTCTGCTCAAAATTCAGTGGCCAAATTTTTGACCCAAGTAAGTCCTACAATATACTAAGATTGTTATGACTGCTATGTAAATTAAATGTTTCTATGGCCAAAATAAGTGATATTTTAATGATTCTGAGTACAAAATGCAATTTTTGGTTCACATGTGCTTCTACTAGAGTGCACTTCTACATACTAAATTGGTCACCCTTTTTTTTTTATACCTAAAAAGATGCAACAGTGTGGGCCTACATGTCACTGTAGTTTTAAATTTATTGGCATTGTTGTCTGCCATATTGTGCACACATGCATATCCAGCTCTTATCTAGTTTTTATACACTTGCGTACAGCCAGGTGATATGCGTCAGAAATATACACTCCAACACTTGTCTTTTGTTATTACTGCACATAATCGCAACATGTGCTGCGAGTACAGGAAGCCAGATTAACCAATCACTGTTCTTCGCATCCACTCATACTCATCTTTGATGAGGTAATTACAACTTGTGCAACGATTTTATTAATGGGATATGCAAGTTATTTTCAGTTGATGTGGTGCTGAAAATACAACAGCAGGATACACCACATTACTCATGAAAATAACTATCATACAAAATGTACCTCCACAAACATTAAGGCAAGTACATGGCATTTTGTCATGCAATACCCTTGTTGATCAGTGGGAAAATTTCATACGAGTGACCAGATGAGAAACAATGAAAGATTACATGCCATTTGTTCTTTAACCCATGTTATCAATACAAGAGTTATTGGCACTACAAGTTTTACTCTGAGATAATACTGGAATAATATTGGAATCTTGGGACTCACTAAGGCACAACATTTTTCAATAATTTAAATATGTGCGAATTAAGGGAATTATTCAATGATTGCCTGAATTTGCCCTGATTTTGAATTACTTAAAAAGCTGTTAGTACATGTAGTAATTTGAAAAAGAAGTGAAATCCTGTGAAAACTCAAGCATCTGACTATAATTCAAAAGTATGATATTCCAATGCACAATCAATGAGTAGTCAAATCAATTGCCAGCATTGGGACACATTAAAAACAATTGAAATTACGACAAATTCAGCCCATATAATACTCCCAAGATCCCACACACCTTTATAAAATGACCTCAGAGTGCAACTTTACTTTGAAAATGTAGAATAATTTATTTTGCCAGTGGTAAATTTGTATCCGTATGGTTCACATGTAAGTCAAATTAGTGAAACATACAACACAAGTTAACTTAATTCCAGCTAAAGTTAAGTAATTCAGTAATGGATGGCATATATTCATTCATATTGGAAGAAGAAAAAGATTTTAACACCTCACCCTAACTGGTCTAAATTAGACGCATAAATAATTCAGAAAATAGTCCCATATTAAGAAGTATTCGGTTTATAGACAAAGATGAAGGATTTGTTTTATACAGGTTTATTTCGACAGTTGATTAGTATAACCCACAGTAATATTGAGAAGATCAATATAAATTCTTCAAGAGTGTCAACTTCAGATGCATTCTGTGCGGAAACATTGCCATAATCAAAATTATATTTTGTTTATTAAATTGTAATTTTATTAATAATGCTTCTATGGGTTGTAAGGACTGTATATTGTCTATATCATAGTCTTAACAACACAAAATTTATTTTACTTAAAAAGTTGTTTAAAAATAAAACCATTTAAATAACAGAATTGAGAAAAATGAATGTTTCATCAAATAATTTAGGTACTAGTTCTTCAAATGAATCACCAACTGTTCGTTGTCAGCAGCTACTTCTGTACCAGTTAATGTAGCATTTAAACTCTTTGAACACCAATGTTTTTACACCAAAATGTTGATGCAAAATTTTATGAACTTTTCTATTACAAGTTTTTTGTTAACTTCCATGGAAAAAAGTATGCAGGTTTATTTTGTGAAACAAAGCTGACTTCTGGGTTCAAAGGTTCAATACGCAGGTCATTTCATAAGAGTTTGAACATCTGATTTCTGACAGCCAACAGTTAGTATAGATACTCAAAATTAAATGAAACTATTTTATCAAAGAGTAATGAAAGAAGAAAATATGGTAATTACTACTAAAAATGTTAAACCTGGTAGATTCCACACAATTGGTTGTGCAATTTATTTAATTTGGTGCAATTTTTAAATTATTTGATATGCAAAAAAAAAAAAAACAGGTACTTGACTCAAAAACTTTTTAAAGTAAGTTTGTTTTAATAAAATATTTCTCTAACTGCAAAGACTTCTACACTTGTTGCATGTTAGTGCATACATGTCATTGTATAATGGCATATCAGTCCTGTGCAGAATTCAAAAATAACAATTTTCTACATCTTACTTCCATTCAGATTTAATATTTTCAGAAATTGCAATTATATGTCAAAAATATTGTCTTCACTTTTGTTAGAAAATAGTTGTTCAGTTGTCAATAACATACCAGACTGGAAACAATTAACATTTTATAAAATTTAAACATAACTGTGAATGATCCCTGGGTTTGAAGCTGATTTAAAAATAAATATTAAATTCCGCATTTCAATAAAACCAGAAGTGAAAAAGACAATGAAAGAGCCAGGTTTTTGGGGCAGAGGAACGCCAAATATGGACTAAACCAGATTTAAGGTAAGCTTCTGAAGCATTATTTCATATGCATGGTGGGTAAAAATATGAAAGTGAAGCCTGGTTATCCAAATTTTTTTGGAGATGGACGATTACAAAATGGTATGTACATTACTTTCTAACGAGTTAGTAAAATCTTTTTCTGTTTTGTTCTTGTTTTTTCTGAAAGATCACCACGCCTACAATAATACAAACCAAAGCACCAAGACATATGCAAAATATGAGTAAAATTAGTTTGCCCCAGCTGAGTGAAACATTTTTAAACGCACCACTTGGATCATCTACGTGATCTGAAAAAACAAACAAAAAAAACATTGTGATGATCAATAAGTGAAAACAATTTGTTTTGGGCTAGAATTTGATGCCAACCTTACTAAATTTCACACATAAAATATATTAATACTGTCTGTGTACAAATTTCAAATTAACTGTTGTCACTTCAGCACTTGTTTTACTGCTGGTACCTTTTGAATACAACTACCCGTACTAGTTTTCCATACTAATGCTTTGATGCATCCATTTCAGATTGAAATAGATTTATTTAGGTGTTTCCAAATTGTAGAAGTTTACCAAAAACGAAAGACACTACGTTGGGGGAAGGGGTGTCAAACTGATATTCTGACAGAAAAATTGATCTTTTTTTTGTGTGTACATTTTGTCCACCAAAAATAAATATTTATATGGAAGGGCACTATGATTCCTCGTGAAATAACTTTTTGGCAGACTTTGCCAATTTGAGACCACCACTAGCATGACAATGTTAGGTAAATATGTCTATATATGGGGCTTCTAATAAAGCAAATACCGATACATTGGAATTACTCGAACATACACTAGTGTCACATAAAGAAATACAGATACTGCCATTGGACAATATATGGTATCCACTCAACTTTGTATTTGTCCCATATATAACAGCAAAAGTGTAAAATTGTCAAGGTGCTTGACACTCTTCTAGATTGTTTGAAATGATTTCTACAAGAAATCACCCATTGTTCACCCATTCCTTCCTTATTGTGTAATTCTTAGAACATGCTCACAGTGTGGCTCCAATATTAGATAATGTAATGTAAATTCTTACCTCTTGGTGGAGCAAAGAAATCAGCTTGAGGGTCAATTTGAGTGTAATCTACATCTCCATCTTTCTCCGCCTTTGAGACTTCTAATTCATAGAGTTTCATTGAAATTATATCATGGTTATCTGAATAATGAAATAAACTTACTATTTTAAATGCACAAATATTATAATAGACAAAAAATGAAATTTATGTCCCAGTACATCGTGCAGCAAAAGTGTTGTCTGAGCCTTGCAT